AAAAAAAAAAAAGGGGCGGGGAGGCAGGATCAACACAGAACGGGAATCGAGCTAAAAAGGGAACGCTTTTCTCCGTGTTATGACAACGTACTCCCAAGCAGGAATTGCATCCTTTCTCCAGTTAAGTCGATCGGTCTTCCAAATAAAATAAAAGAGTGGTGGGGGAAGAAGTTAGTGTGCATTGCCCTCGGAAAGAGACTCTTAATTCATGCCAGTTAAACACTAGAACTAAAAATTTACAAAGAAGCGCCAAAGGAGATGGAAGTGTTATTAGAGTTACCTTTTCCTCTCTGAACAGTCCAGGAGAAAAAAAAAAAAACAAAAACAATGACTACAAATACAGCAGGCAAACTGACTGTTGGACTGATGGGCATAGGATATATTTAGTGTTGTAAGGAATTCAGTCTCAAGTTGTGCTAAATGCTCTTCGGCCTCTGTATGGCACGTTTTGGTCCATGATGGGGATTTTCAAGTTGAGACGAACCCCGATTTCTTACAGAAACGTGTAAATATTGTCGCTCTTTAAAACGCCAGGTGTACTTCCCTCTACAAAGGTTAGGAGAGGTTTATAGGAAGTAGTCTGGGGTACGGCGGGTAACGTGAGGCTCTCCACGACGAGGTGCTGGGTCAAACTGGAGGCTGCAGGAAAGAAAAAGGGATCATTTTCCCTCCTCCACAAGGTATTTCCTAACGCCCCAATAAATACTAGACTTGCTCTCCTGCTGCTACTGATTTACTCATCCTAGCCGCTTCCACATAAAACGTTCCAGGTCCCAAAACCAAGCATCCATGGGAGTTAAAACTCATCAGCTGGTCGGACGGCTGCTTACGGAGTGACCACCACCCAGCAGCCCGTCGCTACTGTCACGCGAGCTCAGCTGAACGCAGAATTCAGACTCTCTCACCCACCTTTACAAAGCCAAAGTGCTCCCCAAAATAAAAATAAATACATAAATCAATCTGCCTTTACTCTCTCCATCAAGCTCGGGCAGTAGAGGGATTAACAAAATGCAGAAGGTCCAACTCTGGTCCAGAGAGCCAGGACAAGGAGATAATGCAGTACCCAAGAGAAGCTTTTAAGAGCTTAACTCACTACTTGTTTTCAGATATTCTTGCAGGTAGAGCACGCAATGTTAATTCCAGAGTGGTCTGAGCTGGCTTTTCATGAAAGAACCCCTTTGGAAAGGATCAGACATTCCTCGCAATACAGAACAGTTAGGAAGAGAGAACAGCCCAAGCCAGGTTACTCACAAGGAATATTTTAAAGTGTCATCTAGTTCCATGATAGCAGCCTGGTTCCCACAACGGTAACAGTAATTGGGTGCACTGAAAATGGTAACCACATTTCGGTCGTGGCACCAATTATAACCCTGCCAGAAAAAGAGAAAAAAAAGGTTTCTGCTAAACCTCAAACCTCAGCCTGTCTGAAGTTCCTCGTAAGGCCTGAAACCATCCAAGGTATTTGTGAAACTGTAGACTTCTCATAAGTATTTCCAACTGATTTAGTTTCATTTAAGAAGTACCTTACCGCAAGAACAAGCGGCAGCTACCTAGCAAAAGCAGCTTCGAGCACTCTACAGAGAGATCAGTCGTTCGTCACTCGTGTGTTTTATCCATTTAGTATACAAATTACGGATCGTACCACAAAGAAACCTCGAGATTTTCAGGTACGCCTTCAGCTTTCATCCACCACAAACGAGAATTCGCCCACTGGATGCGAGCAACTTCTGACACACAGTACCACTTAAGGGATCTATTTGAACGAGATTTTAAAATTACATCTGCTCCATTGACCCACCTGGCATTTTTCCAGCAAGACGTACAAGAATAGCCTACCAACAGCCGAAATTATGGCTTAATCCCTGTCACAGGCTGCCGAGTATTATAGAACAGCCTGTTTTAACGCAGCAGCAAAGTAGAGCAGTCAGCGTGTAAGGAGATTATTACTTCCACAAATGGGGTGTGACAGGGTCCCTTTGGCAATTTACTTTGGGGGAGGAGGGCGGAACACCCCCTTATTTACATCGCAGGTCAAAGCACATCATTTTACGTTGCTTCTTGTTTTCACATGATTCGAGTCCCTCTTTGGTATTGACTTGCACAACATTTAGGTGTCAGCTTATGCAAACCCATAAGCGGAAGGTCTCGCAGAGGAGACCAGAATTTGCATCTCTGTTTTGTTAGCCCCATCTAGCAGAGCGCTTGCCCTACCTCCATGACAAGTTGGTGAGCACGGGAGACCAGTGTGAGACCATTGGCATGGTTAAATGTTTCAGAAATATCTTGCCCAAACGTGTAGCCAGCACCACGTGGAGATATACCCCAGCCGCCACGATCATCCGGATCCGACCATAACAGATCACACATAGGACCCTTGAAAAAGATTAAGTGTTCTTCATCAGACCGTTAGCAAGACTGTTATAAAAAGGCATTTTTAACATACATTTTATTTGCAGTAGAATCCTTCTCTGCACAAGGCACATGACTTTATTTAACACACATAATACTGGCTAGTTACTCACCGTATCAGTCAGCATCCTTCCCAAAGAATTGAATACAAACACAGCTGACTAAGCAGGCCATGAAACCAGAAAACTGTTCCCATCTCCTCTTCCATGCACACCGTTCACCATTTCACTTCAAGCAGCCAGAGATATAAAGAGAGCGAGCAGATCCACGTTCTTACTCCCAGCTCTCACAGTATAATAAAAAAAGGCCACGTGAGATGGTGTGCACGTCCAAGGATACACAACGGGTTCGCTGGTGCCAGCCAAGTTGCAATGAATTAAAAGGAAACGACCTGTAGGAGGCTATGAACTAACTGCTCCAGAGATTGATGGTAAGCCTTCAGCAGCCCTTCTGGCAGGGTATTAATCATTTAATTTCCTCTCCTACACAGTCTACTGTTGGACTTGACGTAATCAAAAAAATCCTGGTGTACATCTGTCCTGGTTTCAGCTGGGATAGAGCTAATTTTCTTCCTAGTAGCAGGCATAGTGCTGTGTTTTGGATTTAGGATGAGAATAATGTTGGTAACACACTGATGGTTTAGTTGTTTTTAAGTACTGCTTATGCTAGGCAAGGACTTTTCACCTTCCCATGCTCTGCCAGGTGCACAAGAAACTGGGAGGGGGCACAGCCAGAATAGCTGATCCAAACTGGCCAAAGGGCTATTCCATACCATATGGCATCATGGGCAGTACAGGAACTGGGGGGGTTGGCCGGGGAGCAGCGATCGCTGCTCAGGGACTGGCTGGGTATTGGTCAGCAGGCGGTGAGCAATTGCATTGTGCATCACTTGCTTTGTATTATATAATTATTATCATTATTATATTTATTATCATCATTACCATTTTACTTTATTTCCATTATTAAACTGTTCTTATCTCAGCCCAGGAGTGTTTCTCTCTCTTACTCCTCCGATTCTCTCCCCCATCCCACTGGGACAGGAGCAGTGAGCGAGCAGCCGCGTGGTGCTGAGTTGCTGGCTGGGGCTAAACCACGACATCATCTTCGAACAGTCAGAGCTGAAGCTCAGCGGCTCCTCTTGCTGAGCTACCAAGGGGCAGTAAAGACACTCTAGTATTTTATCCAAGCCGGCTGCCGTTTCCTACCCGCCGATCTGAGCTCTGTGGTAGGGATCACACTGACTACATGTGGAGGTCCTCAGGATAGCCAGATTTCAGCACACAGATATGCAGCACAGGACTGGGAAAACCACAGAGCAACAATCTAATCATTACTCCTAGCTACAGGTAGATGTCCCAGCAGTTAGCCCCCACCCCCGATTCTGGGAGTAATTTACACAGCTTATTTCAGGTTTTTGGAAGGCTTGGGCAGACCTCGCTGCGTTGTTCTTGCTGTTACACCAAAGACGTTGCAGGACAAGCAGTTCATTTTCATCTGGGAACATTCAAGCCCATTTGTAAGCCCCAACCGCTCCACTACAGAAGAGCCACTTGCTACCCTGGGAGCTCAGAAGGTGGTTTCTTCAGTCCTGATCTCAGGCCCCCAGAAAGTGGTAAACTAAGTGAAACACCACAAAAGAAAGGATTGGCTGGGGAGGAAGGATGGTGATACAACACAGCTTCAACGTGGTGGTTGTCTGTTCACAACCCAGTCTGTGATAAGGCTGAAGGTAGTAAACACCTTCCCCTGCCAAATACTACTCTTTGAGTCAGCGTGACAGTCAAAAACCCCCCGTAATTGTGAAAAACAGCTGTGAAACCCCCTTTTGTAGATTGCTGTCATCAAAGTATGTTGACTTGCGTATGTTTTGCCCAAATGTATGTTCATCTGCTCTAGTTCTTAGAAAGGCAATAATCTGCTGTGTAACTGCGTGTCTCGCTGTTTAAATGGATTTCAGTGTGAGGCTACACATTTTCCACCAACAGATTTCTAAGTTTATGATGCATTTCCTTTCCTGTTACCTCATGTGGAACTTCCTGCAGGCGGTCCAGAGCCCTGATATGATCCAGTGTATCTATGGACGGAGAGAGGCCACCGTGGAGACAGAATATCTGTTCCGGAAAAAAAGAAAATAAAAAAAAAAGAGCAAACCGTTCAGTGCATACTGTTACGGGAAGACTGATCTCACAAATAGCTGTTTTTAACTCTTATCATTCTTTTACAATTACAGCCGTATCACCCTCATGGCAGAGAAACCAAATTTAATTCCTGCAGAAGGAAACAAAACTAAAAGGCTGCACCTTGCATAGAAAGATCAGAGCAACAGCAAAGATACTATGCCTTCTGTTTTAAGAATATCTTGCCTCACAGCCACAACTCAACTGGCATCTAACGTCTCACAAGGGGATCCCTGCTTGTTGAGCGGTCATTTAAAATGAACTACACTTGCAATACCCTGCCATTCCTTCGGCAGCAGAATCAAAAGCCTTCCCGCACCATCAGCTTGTAGTTACACCTCACTAAATTCTTCCCCAAACCCACAATGAGTACATGGGGTTTAAAAAAAATTCGGATCACAAGTTAAGGGACCTTGTTTGAGACTGTTCATGTAGAGGTCAGACCATACGGTCTGCATAACTCTGAAATGGAGCATGTTCCTTACTCAGGGCTTACCTGGCCATCTACTAGAGCTGTAAGTGGAAGATAATCAAACAGATCTGTGAAATACTTCCAGACGTTGGCGTTGCCATACTTTCGCAGACATTCATCATAAAAGCCATACACTTGTGTAATTTGTCTGCTTTCGTGATTGCCCCTCAGTATTGTAATGCGTTCTGGGTAACGCACCTATTGACAAAGAAAACTCTTCTTTAACACAAGAGTTGTACCATCAATATGGAAAGAAATAGTAAGAGAGTATTTCAAACAGCAGTCAAGCATTGAGCTCTGTTATAGAACAGCAAGTCCATCAACGCATTTCCATTCACATCCGTCCAGCTCAAGCCGACGGCAGCGTCAATGGGAAGAGCAATTTTTTCAAAACTCCCCAAAAGCACAGTTTTGCCCAAGGCTGCTGTAGAAAAGCTGTCAAACCGTACCTTCAACGCTACTAGAAGAGTCACCGTTTCCACCGAGTAATAGCCTCTGTCCACGTAGTCTCCCATGAACAGGTAATTTGTGTCTGGCGATTTCCCACCAATTCTAAAGAGTTCCATAAGGTCGTGGAATTGACCGTGGACATCCCCACAGACGGTGACGGGGCAACGTACCTCTTGCACATTCGATTCTTTTGTGAGGATTTCTTTAGCCTAGCAAGAAAAACACATTTAAGGTAAAAAGGTAGGAAGCTCCTCCATAAGAAGGGGCAGATGTTATTCCACTGCATTGGCACTGGAAACCTGATTTCACTCCAGTAGCTCAAGCTGACCACTGGAAAAACACTTTGTTGGGTAAGCAAAGACAAAGTGCATTTTACAAATCCCTGTGCACAAAGACAAGCAGGTTTGCTACTGCAAGGCCAGGTCATTAAGATCTTACTGTACCACAAGCACTGACAAACAAATTCAAAAAAAGTAACTAAACAAGTTAATTCCCAGCCTCCCCTGAAATGAAGCGGTGCGAACATCAAAACTTGCACTGGATATACAACTTCCATCACCACTGGGCTTCACCCATGTGCTTCTTCCAAACATTTCTCAAGCGCAGACCAGATGAAGCACTGTTCCAGTAAGCTTCATTAGCATCATGGGCAGATGTTATCTTCTTAAGCACAACTGATTTTTTTTTAACATACAGATTTTGACAGATTTCTCCATCTACCTGTTCAAAACAGCTCGGGTCTGTTCGTCTCAGCTATGTGAACTACGGCAGCACTCTAATCTGACTGCCGAAGTCAAGTGCTATTCCATTTCACAACACCCAGAAGCTTTTACCTCAAGAACCACAGCTGTCCCCTCAGTATTGCCGGCCATCCCATGTCCTGGCAGCAAGAGTTCAGTGAGAAACTCGTGTAAACAGCGATTAGTCAATACTCTTGCCGTCTGCTGTAAGAGCAGCAATACCAGAGGAGACAGTGCGTGCCACTCAGGCAACTATTACGGTTTTTTGAACAACTTGATTTGCAAAAGCACACGTAAAGCTAGATACTGTTTGATACTTAAGACTAGTAGGAAAACTATGACCTCCTAGACTTCTGATAGAAGTCATCTGACTTGCAACGATGCACTTGAGACTCCCTCCTGCCACATTTTAGTCTGACTACCATCTCAGTTGCTCAACGGATCGCTCTCAATCCCACGCAGCCATGTGGAACCACTCGTGTTGCCACCTTCGCTGGCAACACAGCAGCAGGCTGGAACAACTCTTCTGCCAGCACTGACAGCTACTCCTCACCGCCTTCCGCAGCAGGCTGGAACAACTCTTCTGCCAGCACTGACAGCTACTCCTCACCGCCTTCCTCCTCTGGGATCCCTCAAGGCTTTCCCCTGTCGCCGCACACCCGTAAGCCTCAAGCGCTCTCCCAAGACCACGATTTTGCAGCAGCGGGTCCGTGCCATGGAGACAGCACTACAAACAGCACGCTCAGTCCATACGGACAAAGCCAGCTCATCGTGCGATCACTGAGCAGAGATGATGTTAAGAAAGGCTGCACGCGACAAAGCGGCTCATCTGGCAGAAATGCTGGGCAACCACTACGGCACCAGATGAGCTCAGCTGCGTTACTCCGCCAAACAATAACCAACGCGAGCGCCGGTGCCGGGGGTTGATGGGGCTGCCCCAGCTCTCCGGAGGTGCTGCACTTTCAGATTGCATTGCAGTGAGTACGAGATGACTAGAGCCGTACGTCAGGAGAGGGAACCTTCTCTGCACGTTGCCAGAACACATGGGAACTAACAAATCCACTTCCCTTGCAGAGGGGCATATTTCTTCTTCTTGCTTATGCTACCGAGGAAAACAAGTATTCCTAAGCTTCACTTTACTAACCTGGCACAGACCATCACTGCATATGCAAGAGGCGCTTCTCTCGCCCAGGGCACTTTTTGCCTGCCAGATTTCCAATCCTCTTCCAAGCACAACAGTTAAGCAACTTCTAAAGGCAGGTCACACAGAACTGGAAAAGCAAAGTCAGAGGCAATTTAAACATATGGAGCCACAAGCAGCTTCCCTGCCCATACCCAGCTGGCAACAAAATGACCACAGACGGAGGGATGGCATCCCTGGATTTAGTCATCTCCTCCTCTACACCCAGCAGTTCCTCTGCTAATTACAGCCATGTAATGTAGCCTATCTGCACTACCTTATTATCATTATCAAACATCATGTTTGGTTTGCTGCCTCCAGCACATCAACTGATGCAGATCAGCGCTCCAGGCACATCTGAGGCACGGAAAACACCCACAGAAAGGCTCAGTCCAATTCGGACAAAAGGGATGAAAGATCACAGTGCTGAACAGTCACCAGCAGGCAATGACCTGGCTATTCATCGCCAAGTCCCTTCGCTCAGGATGATGTAGCTCCAACCTGCTGCTACCAGGAAGAAGCTGCTTACCGAGGACACCCTCAGTGGGCTCCCCAAGGATGCCTGTGTTCACATCCAAACATTCACTGCCTTGCCTCTTTTAGGGAAAGGGAGTATTTGGAAAGAATAACTAAACCCCAAGCGGTCAAGGGCTTGGACAACATCCAGCGTGCCCCTTGCACGGTATGTAACCCGAGAGATGTGACCCCGATCCTCAAAGACACATCCTGCACACAGACTCAGTGACAGGGGGTCTGCCTAAACTGACTGGACACTGCTGAAGGTGTTGCATCTCTGAGTGCAATACTAGTACTCAAATTCTGTTCAAATATCTTTAAAAGCACCCATAGGACCTTTTGAGAGCTTCTGCCCTCTGGGAGAGACGAATATAAAACACAGTCACAAAACAGCTGCTCAGTGTGTTGTGACTTGCACAAAGAAGCAGACGGGGTTTTCTTGTAAGCTGGAGCTAACTTCATCACAGGTTAAGGTGCAAGGTGTTATCTGCCTTTTCATATCACACATACCGCTCCCTTCCCATATGCGTAGAAAGAAAGACACTTACTTCAAGCCTCCAGGGAAAAGATGTAGGACACTGCACAGATACCATACATACTTACCAACGTCTCAACCACATCATCACTCTCCACCTCTGTGATCTTCCCAGAAAACCCACGCACCCATCCTGAGAACGTGTACAGGTAAAGCAGCACAGGCAAGAGAGAAGAGCTCCTTTTGTGAAATAATGGGGCAAACATACTCACGTTAAACGCATCCTAGGAAGGTGCGCCAGCCCGAGTCTGACTTTCTAATGCAGAACAAGCCCTTTAAAATCTTAAGCATCGTTAAAACCATCCCAGAAAAGCGGCAACTAACCAGTGCACTCTGCTTGCCTATTTCACTGTGCAGAGCTAACACTAAAGTCAAATGACTTAAAATAACAAAAGCACCATTACAAAACAAGGATAAAAAAAACTCTGATGCAAGTGAGTTTGCCCAGGTAAAATGCCCTGCATTATTGTCATTTACATACTTAAGAAGGCTGATAATAACTACGACTTCAAGTCATATTTTAGCTACCTTAGAAAACGGTGACTCATGTTATCAGCTTCCTAAGCATGTGTCCTAATTGTTTTGGATGAAAACCATATCCGGGTCAGAATAAAAAGAAGCAGCTTTTAGGTATTATTAAATAAACCTCCATTAAGCACAATAGTTACCATGTCTGTGCTCAAAACTACTTTGAAGAGTAAACTATTTGTTGGCTGTGAGCTTGCCCATCATCTCAACTCCCCTCTCTTTCTCCAGTTTTAGATTCTGTAGATCGCCTTTGGAGACCGGAACACAAGCTTGTCTGCCGCCCAGTCCTCAGTCTGCACAGAGGGAGGCTGGAGAACACACGTCCCAATAATTTACTGCGTTATCCTCGCAAGAGGAAACAGAGCTGTCTCAGGGCTTGAACGCAACCCATTAATGCGCTGCTCTGAAACCTGAGATGCTACACTGGCTTTGAGACTACCATCGGGATCACCAGGAGACCAATCCCTCTGTGAGAGACTTAACAATCAAATCCACATCAACTGTCACGCTGCTCAGATGTTTCTATGATAACTGTGTAGGCTGATTCCACGGGTGAGGGGATTACGATCCAACCAGGAGGCAGACTTGCAGCACTGCACTTTCTCTAGAGAAAACCAAAGACCCCAAGCACCTACTTTGCCTACAAGATCTTTGGAGAGCACAGAAACTCAACTCCTTCTGGAAGATTCATTTACTGCATCACGAGCTCAGTTTGACCCATAGAGGCTCTTACTTCAGGAATCAGAGAAACCAGCTATGGAGTTTCTGATCAAAATTCAAGTGAACCGTCATTCCATCAGCTGCGACAGACCAAACTACGATGCCAGCCAGTGTGCTGAGGATATTAAAATCTCAAGGACCTTGGCCTGAGCAAGAACCAGCTAGATTCTCCCCAAATGAGATGGAAGCCGGAGGGACAGAGCTGTCCTGCCCTTCAGCAACATGGCAGCAGAGGACATCCGGAGCCTCAGGAGTGACAGGACTGTCAAGGTGCACACGTGCTCCTAGAGGTACCTGGGCCAGCATAGCCTGGGTTGAGCATCATCGCTGGAGAGATGAAATATTCCTGGCCACGACTCAACACAACACTCAATTTCATGGTTTGAACAGTGTCCAGGATGCTACTTGGCTCCGTCACTCGTACTAATTTCACCAATTAGTGCAGAAGAGCTTGCTAACTCGTTCTCCTAAATTTATGCTCAGGTGAAACGATCTTGGAGAGCAGAAGCATGATAGGTAAGTGCCAGTAACAGCAATACTCCCTACAGCATCAACTGGCTCCTGCTGCTTAGTTTGAAGAATCAGTTTACAATTACCATTCAATAACCGTACAAGAAATGCAAGTCTTCATTAGCGATTAGAATCCTTCTCCTCCCACCGCTTCACAACACAAAGCTCTCAAGCTGCTCACAGCAACGAGACTGTAACCTTTCTTACACATCCAAAGAACAAGGATAGAAAAAAAACAAGCTACAAAGAAAGAGACGGTTATGGATGGTTGCTTGCCTGTGTTTAATTTAAGAGACAGCCTTTTGCTTGCCTTCTTTCATATCCCATTGTATTACCTTGGTGAAAAACCCTTTTCCCTGGGATAAGTAGGATGGCTCTCAACTCCCTCACCTGCACCACAATTCATTTGCTGACCTGACCTTTAAAACAGAAGTATTCATAGATTTCCGTGTCCAAACTCAGGAGCATTTCCTATTAAAC